GAGAGAGAGAGAGAGAGGCTATGACAATTGTGAGTGAGACGAGGCCATAAGAGCATGAACTATTATTAATTTATTAGTTATTATGCAATTGGCCATAGCTGCGGCTAGATAGAGAGGAGAGAGAGGCTATGACAGTTGTGAGTGCGACGAGGCCATAAGAACATTAACTATTATTAGAATTGGCAACGACTCTGAGGATGTTTCGGGGAACTGACCCCCTCGAAGCGTAGACTACTTCGTACCTTGCGACGGATCAGTGATGCCCTACCTAGATTCGAGGGGGTAGCCAGAGTTGAATTGGAGACGGCTTTTAGAATTGGGACTGTTCTCGCATGTCTCCTTGGCTTTCTCGGATGGGGAGTTACGTATATTAAGTATTGGGGTCAAGTCGATAGGAATAGACTCCTATCTCTAAAAGACACCTCTTCTTGTGTTTATGTGCTAATTTCCCCATTTTGTAAACAGACGTACGTGGGACAGACCGGGCGCAGCTTGCATGAGAGATGGCAAGAACATGTGTGAGCATCATTGGATAATCCCACCTATAAAGTGCACAAATGGTTGAATAAGATGAAACCAGAATCGTACTGTGCTATCCCAATCTGGGTAGGCGAAAAATCTGCTTGAAATTGAAAAGAAAATCATTTGCAATGAGAATCCTGGTCTGAATGCTAGGAAGACGAAGAAAAGACGGAAACCGCGAAAGGTAAGGAAGAAGACAAGTAAGGTATTAAGTCCGGTTCAGCAGGGTGAATGGAAACCCATTATTTTTTCATCCGATGGACATATCGCGTGCACTAACCTGTTGAAGGTTTTGAAAGCAGCCAAGGGTGCAAATAGACCCGTACGCATTACAAGTGAAGGTGGTAATAAATGGGGAACGGCATGGCGACTGATCAAACTGGTATATGGGGACTCTAAGCTTGAGGATGGGGATGGGCGCTATGTCCTTAAGGATATGAAAACTCTATTTGAAAATGGGGATGCATGGGATCTTACTTGTCTTGTACGAACGAAATCTGAATCTGATCGTAGGAAATCAGAGCTGATTTCGCTCCTCCGAGCTCCGTGGAAACGGCGAGATATCTTAAAAAAGGACAGGGTCGGGTTGTTTGGGATGCTCAAAGGGGTAAAAGTTGTTAACACGAAACGCGGTAGACAAATAATCCGCTCGCTAATATCAACGGAGCTAAAGAAAAGAATTGGGTTCAATCCAAGGCAGAGGATAGTGGTTAAGATACCGTTTTGTCCATCAATCGACAAAAGCTGTGTGAGAAGAGAATTGTGCAAGTGGTTAGGTGAAAGGATTAAGATACCTGAGCTCGTTGACCTGATGCAGGAGAAACTCAGGGTAGTCTCAACTAAGGCCAAGACTATTGTTGATCTTCTGCATAATCATAAGATGGTTGCAGCTGATGCTAATGAGGAATGCTCTTGCCATTTTTTTTATCTGCCCAAAACGGAAGGGCATGTTCGGGTACGCCTTAACGAGTTACAGGATGTTAACCCTTTTCTCTACAACTCGAGGAATGTTCCACACCCAGGAAGAATGATGGACCTGAGAATTGTGAATGAGGCTTGCCGCACTGCCTTAAAAAATGTACGTGGTCTTGTGATAAAGGATGAATTCCGAATCTCTCCACTAAAACTTAGAAGAATTGGCCCTGGGAACTTGCCACATGATGCGGTACCCTGCGAATACGTTGTCGAGCGCATCGGTCCCTCAGGGGGACCCTCCCGGCCGCGTCACGCAGGATTTGGCAGGATTTATCGCGGAAGAGCGTGTTTGCCGCTCCAGCCGAGTGCTCCAGCCGTACCTCTCACGCACCCCTACGA